CCACTAACTATGAAGTTTTTTTCTGCCTCCACTAATAAATGGAAAATTCTTGAACTCTCTCATATTCCCTAAAATATATCAACCCCAAAACCCATTACCCTAGGTTTATTCAGCAGTTTTCCTTTTATTAAAGCCCTTAGTACTAATGTTTTTTGTTTCTTGCTTGTGAGTATAGGGATATATGTGAGTTTCTCAGGAAGATGCTACAATACTAGACTGAAGTAAAGGTAAAATTATTATCCACACCTATTCATGGGTTCTGCCATACCCATCAGAGGTTTTGGTTACCATTGTCCGTAGATTCACCTAATTGTTAAATTAACAACTTTGAAGAAATGCCAAGGTAAAAATGTAGCTAGAATTTATTGCCCTGTAATAACTGTTTGTCAATAATCATTATCAAAGGTGTGGAGTACAAAAAAATTTATTTGGGGTTTTAGGAATAGCAATTCATTAGACACAATTTTGAGAAAATCTGAACATGTGTGTATCAAAGAGAACAAAATCCTTGAGTTTAAGAAGAATAAACCTACAATGATTGGTGCAGCCAAGCATCAAAGTACTTGATTTCGTAGCTGATTGGTCAACTTGCTGTTATAGCTACAGGCAACTCTGAGTCAATTATAGCCTCTCTATGCACTAGTTTAGAATGTTGTCTCTTTCTTATCCAACATGATTGCATCTAAGTAGGCTTTTCCATGACTTCACATACTTTGTATTATTTTTCCTGACTCAGATGCAAGTGGACTTAAGGAAATTTTCCTCCTGACCTAGAGGCCACTAGAGAAAAGAAACCTATCTGTACCACTGAGAGCTCAACCTCTAAAAGTCCTAGTCTCTTCATCTATAAATTAAGAATAATGACACATACCTTTCAATATTATGATGGAAATTTAATGAGCAATAAATGATTGGAATATATACAATGCCTGGCATATTGTCTCTGAATTAAAATTTTCTAGGTAGTGTTTTATCATATTTTTCCTTTTGCTTCCTTCCTTTTCTCTTCTGTATGAAATTAAGCTTACTGTAAGAATTTAAATACAAACATTTTCAACAAAAAAACTTTCACATACCCACTAAAATTTAATATGAATTACTCAATTGTATTTCACTTCTTAACAGAATAATAGAGAAAATATTTTATTTTACAAAGCTTATGGCATAGAGACCAGCTAATAGGAATAGATACTAAGTATAAACAACAAATACAGCTCAAGCAGTGGCTATAATCTCAGACTTTATTTCATCTGTTTCAGAGCCTGAGGAGAATTCCAGCTAAGCACTTGAAGAAGATCAAAAAGACTGAGTGTGTCACTACAGTGCTGGAATTTCCTCAAGTCTTTTGCTTGACTTCGGTCATTTTTTAATACAACCTTATGAGGTTCTAAGTCAGTAGCCACAAAACTGTGGTTTTTACATTTATTTTTTACAAAGCTGTGATAATGTCACTACTCATAAAGTTAGGAATGGGCAAAGATCAACTTAAAATATAGGTTGATTAGGGAATCCTTGTTTATGTAGGACTACTTTGTGTAGTCGTGATTATGACACAGATACACTCCTGTATTTGGCATTTCATTTAGCATTATATCATCTTGTGGCAAATGTTACAGTGGCAGAGAACAATACAGTAGATACTCTAAACACCAATTTTCTAGTGTGAATTCATAGACTACCTGTTAAGGACATGGTAAAAGTTTGTGAAAACACCTATTTACACCTTAGTTTGTCACCTCCTCCCTTCCCATGTGTAAGGCAAGGTGACGAATATAGTTGTTTGAATGTCATTTGTGTGAATTGTGTGTGTGTGTGTGTGTTGAGGGGAGATTTGTGGAGGGAATGATCTACATTCCATCATCTCCATAATCTATCTCTTCGTACTCCACCCCACTGCCAACCACAAGTGAGGTCATATTTCCAGAGGTATATTCATCTAGAACCTTAGAATTCAAGGGACTTCTATTCTCTACTAAGAAGTATTGACTGTGGTGGAAGCTGTTGACAGTATGGTAGCAGAGTGAGTAGAAAAGACAATGTAAGGAAAAGAACTGAATTTTAAGAGTGAATGGGGCGAGAATGTCTACATTTCCCAAGGGCCAGATGCTGATGCTGCTATAAGGAGCTGAGTAAAGCAATTCTATTAATAAATTCCTTAAAAGAGGAGGAAGAAATACCATTAACTGCTTATTCCAAAGCTGTCTGACAAGTACATTCACAGCTTAGAAGAAAGTTTTAGAATGCCAGCCAAATAAGCTAATATAGCATTTTGTTTATTTTTTTATTCTTAAACTGTATTTTGAGTTATTTTCTCTCAGGTATATGTGCATTTAAATTACTGTTTAGATTGCTTCCTTTAAACCTGAAGATCTTCCTTTAGTATGTTGGGAAAGTAGGTCTGCTTAAAAAGAGTTATACCATTTTTTTCAGGCAATGGATTTCCTTTGCCTTTATTTTTTGCATAGAGGTTTTCTGGATGTATATGATTAGTAATGTGTTTTACTTTAATTTTTTCTTCTAGAATGAATTTTGACTATGTTATCCCATTGCCTTCTGGCTCAACTGTTTCTGATGAGAACTAAGTAAACAATATTCTAGAGGTATCCTGGTTTGTAATTAGCTAGCCTTTTCTAGAAGGTAATGTATTTTGTCTGCTTTTGTCTTTCAGCATTTAAATAATGAAGTGTCTGAGTAGGGTCTCTCTGTGTTTGTCTTGAAGTTTGTTGAACTTCTTGGATATGTAATCAATGTTTCATTTAATTTGGGAAGTTAGCCACTGTTTCTATAAATTTTTTTCTATTTCCCCCTCTCCGCTTTCCATATGCTGCTCCTATTTTGTATATGTTGCTACAGTTAATGGTGTCTCTGAAGCTCTGATCATAATAACATGATTATATGGTGATTATTGATCATTTGAATATACCAAAGTTACTTTCCTAAGATACATTTTAGAAATAAGAAGAGAAATACAGAAGGAATGCAAATGTCTTTCCCAGAACCTTCTGTTATTTAGTTGTATATGGAAATGACAGCCAGACCCAATCTCCTGCTGATACTTTATCTGATTTGACACATTACCTATCAAGAAGTTTTTATATCTCATTGCTTGAACGAGCCAAAGAAGACAGGGATTTTAATTAATAGAAGTAAAAGCCAAGTGATAGACTCAAAACTCTGAGGAGGTGGCAGGGAAGATTGCTGCTTCTTGATTATGAAGAAAAACAATTGAAACTAGAAACAGTCCTGGAAGCATGTAATTGCAATGGTGAATAACCAAGCTGTGTGATACTGATAGGACCAGGATTCAAATAAGGCGGGGCAAGTCCACTGTCTTCATCCAAACTTCCATTCTCCCTTAAGAACTGTTCTGGAAAAGGCTAACACAATCTGGGTAACAAGGGAGAAATGTGGTTTTTAGTGTCCCATCCCTAACTCTCAAAGCAGAACATAAAGTTATTTGAGTCTGGGAGACAGTAAAACAATAGTTTAAGAGCATCCAAGTTGTTCTCTGAAAAGTAAAGATGGAAACCTTGTGCCTGGTCAAAGCTCTAAGACCTATTATAGTACAACACAACAATAAAAAAATAATAGTCAATGATTTGGGGGCATTTAGGTTGTTCTAGGCACCATTAAGTGCTATGCGTGAATTCTATTACTATTATGAAATAACAGTAATTACCTCTTAACAAAAAGGAAGGTATTATGGGCTTATACTTGTAAGTTAGAAGGGGCTGTAGTGTTTTACTTTACATTTGTGTAAAAACACCAATCTTCCTCGAAAAGCTAGATAATGAGAGTTCTTCCTTCTATTGCCCAAATCCAACTCCAATTTCATGACTGTAAGCAAGGCTTGCATTACTCACATGGCCGCTGCCCCACATGGCTGCCCGTGTCAGTAAATAGAGATAATCTCAATCTTGGTCCATCTCTGTTTTATCCTCCAATGACCAAAACCCTATAGTTTTTCCATTGAAGAACTTGGCTCAATTTCTTTGGCACTTTTCCTCATATTGCAGTTTTTGTCAGCTACATGTTCTGTTTAGTTCTCTTGCTGTGTTGGAGCTATTTGATCCCATGAAGAGAAAGAAAGAATTCCTCCTTCCAGCCTGGACTCTCCTTGAAATCCAAGAGGAAAGCTTTGCTACTATGTTACCTATATTTTTACTAAGTTAAAATGTAGGCTGCATTATATGGGAACTCTTTCATCTATCATAGTCTCATTATGTACCAACACCCAGAAAAGTTATGGGGAATGATAACCAAAAAGCTGTTCCGTACCTTAGGATACACATCAAAAGTAAAATAAAAGGTGAGGTCATAGCTACTAAGGAATCTTTATGTCATGAACTACCAATGCAGCTCTTTTCAAATATTTTATTTGTCCAATTTTCATTTGGAATTACCCTTGTTACCTGAGCTTTGACAGGCACACATTTCTGGTTTTATATGTGATGTGGCTCATGTAATTATTAAAATATTTATTGTGTCGTTATTATACTCCAGACTTTGGTTCAAGTCTTTGAAATATTGTGGGGTTATAAACAGATAAGGTACTATCCTTAAAGAGCTTACATGTGTGATAAACACAAACAGTAAATAAATGACCAAATAAAATGAATATATAACATATGATTTGCTGATTAATAGTCACTTTGCATACTAAATAATAATGTACTTACTTTTAGTTTACAAATGCTTTTTAAAACACGTTCTGCCTCTATTAATTTCTGAAAGTTCAAGGGATTATTTTTACTTGCTGGTCTTTCTAAGAGATTTTCAACAGCTTGCATTTCTGTAATTACCAGTACATGTTAAAACTAGGAGTATGTCTCATTTCTACAGTTAGAATAACAAACTAATTGTATCAATAGCAACTGGAATATTTATGAGGCATAGTTTTCTTTGCCAAATGCTGAATTTGTTTTCACATGGAAATTTTCTCCTTTTGAATATTGTTTTAAGCCACTTCAAATACTGAGCCATACAGTGCAAATCAGTAGTCATCTTTCATCAGGAAAGTTAAAATTTTTCCTACCAAGCATGCTCTTAACAGCAATCTTAACATCCTTATTCCTCAGGCTGTAGATGACAGGATTGAGCATGGGGGTCATGACTCCATAGAAAAGGGAGATGAAGGCATCAATGATGTCTTGACTATCTCCTCCAGCAGTGGTTTTAGACTTGGGCTTGGTATACATGAAGAAGATGGTTCCATAGAATATGACCACCACTGTCAGGTGGGCCGAGCAGGTGGAGAAGGCTTTACGTTTTCCTTCAGTGGAAGGAATCCTCAGAATAGTGACAACAATAAAAATATAAGATATGGAAATTACTAGTAATGGAATGACTAGAACAATAAGATTTGACCCTGCCATGCTGGTCACATTGATTGAAATATCAGCACAGGCCAGTTTCAGAATAGCCAGAATTTCACAGACAAAATGGTGAATGACATTATTAGTACAGAATGGTAACTGCATTGCAAGAGATGTCTGTACCACTGAGTCAACAAGCCCAATCACCCAGGAAACAGCTGCCATGGGAACATAGGCACCTTTTGCCATGACAACAGGGTATCTCAGTGGGTAGCAGATGGCCACATAGCGGTCAAGAGCCATCATGCCTAGAAGCACACACTCTGTGGCCCCCATGGCAAAGGAGAGGAACATTTGTACCATACACACAGGGAAGGAAACTTTTTTCCTTACTGTTAGAAAATTGTTAAGAATTAGTGGGACAGAGGAGCTTGTATAACAAATGTCCAGGAAGGACAGATTACAGAGGAAGAAATACATGGGGGTGTGCAGGTGAAAATCATAGATGATTGCTGAGATGAGGACTCCATTTCCAAGCAGGATTATGAGGTACATCCACAAAACTAGCACGAAGAAAACTGTCTGTAGCTTTGGGTAGGCAGAAAGCCCCACCAGGACAAATTCTGTCAACATGGAATTATTGACTCTTTCCATGTTAACTGTAGTGTTTCTTCAGCAGAACTCTGTAGGTGATAGAACAGCAATCTTTCAGTACAATATCTTCAGGAGCTACCTTTTAGAGAATCATATTCTGTCTTACTCCGGGTTTGTATTTGGATGTAACAATATAACAGTGGGCAAGATTTCTTGTTGTAACTCTGGCTACTAGAGCAGGAATTCCTACCTGAGTTTCTCAGAATTAAGAGAGAGGATCTTTGGATCCCAAAGTTTACCTCTTGACCCCTCAGGTGCAAAGCAGTGCCTGGCAGCCTGGTCTTGCAGACAAATGTGCTTTGTTTGGCACTGATTGTCAACACACTGTTTTCTTCCAATTTATTAGTATAATTTTTAGTGCATATTAACTGTATAAACTAATGGGTTTTGCTGTGGCATTCCCAGCATATGTGTATTATGCTTTGATAGTGTCTACCTTTCCCTCTATTTTCTCTTCTCACTTCTCTCTCCCCTCCCCTCATCTCCTTCCCCTTCCTTAGTCCTAGTCCCTCTACTTTCAAGTAGTCCTCTTTTCCTCCATATTTTAAATATGAATTAGAGGTTGACATTTTCAAAATGATATAAAATATGTTATTGGATTTATTCAAATATATTAAACTATTTGAAAACATTGAACCTGTTTCTGTCCAGGGGATCAGTTTTAACTGACCTATGGGATATAAAGCCCGTGTCTCAATTCTAGCAGTTTGTATTTCTGTCTTCACTCTTTTATCTTGTCACTGCAGCTGAATATAAACTGCCAATTAACATGGTATTCTTAGTTTGTCTAAATCATTTATATTACCTGACAAGATCTTAGTTAAATCTGTTACATTGATCTGTGGTTATAGGACTGATTCTATATTAGATATAGCAGGCTTGCATATTGTGAGGAGCCTAGAAAAAGAGAGTTTTGTTTTTTTTAAAATCTAAAGATTAGATGAACTTTTAAGTTTGTACATAGTATAAATATATTTTCTTTATACTAGTGCAGAAGTAAAATGTAACCTTTAATACATTGTACGGAAAAAGGGCCCATGAAGCCAAAAAGTGCTTAGGTCAAGGTCATTGGGTGGTCTCCTGTGGTTGAGGATCTTTTTAAAGCTCAGTCAGTCAGCAGGTGGTATAGCAGGGGTTATATAGATCTGCAGGTAGCCCCTTTAAAGAGAATGGTGTCATTGATGAAAAGAATGTATTTTTATATTTTCCCAGTATCTTCCTCAAGGTAATGAGGACTTTTATGTTCAAGTAATTTTTTAAAAAACAAGATTGAAAAAAAATCGAATGTACAAAGCCATCTTTACTGTGAATTGAGAGATACAATGTTGTATATTGTAGTTTCTCAATAACTTATTTTCACCTCATTCCAGAACTATTACTTAACAATCAACTATAATAGCTGATTGTTATATATAACTATATATATAAATATGTAAGTATATATATACATATATATGCTATATATATGCTATATATATATATATATATATATATATATATATATATGTATTTTTATAATTAGCTAAGCTGGTGATATCCAGCCATTATTTTTGGCAAATAAAATTTATACAGAAGCATAATGCATAAAACAAACAAGAAGAGAGATTCTTTGGTTGAAGTTGCACTAGTTTTGGGGGAGAAGAAAGTACTGTTCTTTTCACTCTTTTTCTCTCAGTTTGATTTAAGAGGATTCCAAGGAGCATAGTTTGAAAACCACAATGTAGTACACCTTCAATTAACATTTTATATTTTGATTATTTTTATGCCAGAAATAATAAAATTGTAATGTGTGTATCAAGCATTCTGCCAGATACATCTTTAAGTGCTTTAATTCAGAACAACCCGAGGAGGTAGGTGTGTATTATTTTGAGGGATAGGAATTAGCATTCACTAAAGGTTTGGTGAGCACCAGTAAATCATAGTATGAACAGACTGAAGGAAAAGTTCTATTTTAAGATAAGCAGACAACAAATTTACTGAACTGAAGGTCATAATTTTACATAAGCTCTATGAAGTTCACAAGTGGAAGGTAACTTCCTAAACTTGAAGACAATTATACATGGAAAACCTGTGTGAAATTATTACTTGTTAGTAATGGGAAGAGCTCTTATAGTCTTACCACTTAAGGATCTGGAATAATGTAAGGGGGCCTATTCCTACAACTAGCATTAAACACAGACTTAGCAGATTTGATCAAAATCATAAGACAAGAAAATAGCAGAAGCAGTGATACAACAAATACTAAAACATTTTTAATATCTGGTGAGAAACATTTTCTGGTTATATGCTCAATGGAAAAATTAATAGTTCTCTCCATATTATCAATAAATGAATAGAAAGCACTATAGAATATAATATATGAATAAGAAAAAAGGGTGTTTTTATCTTAACAAAACAAGTGCAAGAGCTTTCCAGAAAGTCTTTAAAATTATACTATGGGACATAAGAAATATGATAATTGAAAAGGTATAACTTGTTAATAAGTGGGATAAAATATAGTAGTAGGTTGTCACTTCTTACCCAACTTAGTTTATACATTCAACCAAATCCATTTAATTACAACTGTCTTTTTGAGAAAAATGAGTACTCATCTTAAAAATTATATAGAAGAATAAAAATATATACATGTTACTTGGGCGATTTTATAAAAGAAAATTAAGGAGGACCATCTGTCATTAAAACACTATGAAGTAGTATGATAATGGCACAAGGGCATTTAAATAGTCCATTGTTAAAGAAAGAGATCATGGATTAGACACCTGTACATATGGGAGCTAGATATGTCATAAAATTATTCAACCAAAGCATGGTGAAGTGAAAATATAATAGATCCACTTAGAAAAATGTTTTTACATATGGAAAAAAGAAAAAAATAGGTTTTTAGATGACCATTTCTAAAGGTAAAAACCAGATGGGTTAAAATATATGTGAAAAACATGAATTATTAAATTAATAATAGACACCACAGAATATCTTTGTGAACTAATAGTGAATTAAAAAGACTTAAAAACAAAACTGAGGTGGCATACAATATAAGTTAAAATTGGGTTTAATTATATTTAAATAATTTCTTTTCAGTAAAGGAAATCAGAGATAAAATTAACAGACTATAGAGATAGCTCCAATATCTAAAACTGACAAGGGATTGATATCTAGAATGCAAAAAAATATAACCCTTGCTAATTAAAAAGGTAAAGATTTAAACCAACAGAAAATTGGTGAAAGGACATGAGTCAGTGATTTACAGAATTTGTTTTCTAAATAAGGGGATGATCAAACATAGGAAACATAAAATATTCTTATCAAATGTTCAGAGCAGACATTTTGTAGAAGTGTTGCAACACAAAATCTGTGAAGTGCTCATTAAATATTCAAATATGATTAGCACACAGTCATGAAAGATCACTCATTTTCATTTGATACCAAATAAAGGGACAAGTAGGCTTCTGGTCATTAAATACAGTGGTTACTGGAAAAATTGTTGGCTGTATTAAAAGTGGATAGGTTCTAGTGATGTCATTCCTGGGAATGTATTCTAGCTAATCTCTGTCCATGGATAGCATGAGGATGATAACCTTTGCACCATTTGTGACAGTTAGAGGTTGGAAGAAACCAGGCTATCCATCACTAAAGTATTTATCCTACACATGTGAACATGCACACTGGAACAGTTTTCAGAAATTGGAGCAAAGCCCTAAGTATCCATATAGCTACCTAAATAGATTCCTGAAAAGGTGTTGGAAAAGTAATCAATATTGTGATTTATAGTACAATAAAAGTACATGAATTAAAATACATATCTCATCAGGATACATGTATATTTAGGAACAAATAAAACACATAATTGTGAGTTTGGGAGAGAGTGTTAGTGGAATCAGTGATTATAAATAAAAATAGGAAACTTTGTAAAAATGGAGGAAAATATTATAAAAAGGAGTTAAATACAGAAGAAAATTTATAATTTAATCCTAAATCTGAAAAGAAATAGAAAAATGAAAACATATGCAAAAATCAAAGGAAACATACATATAAGGGCTATATAAACAAAGAAGCTTTGATTTAAAATATAGTTTTAATAGAAGGGAATATCATAAATATAAAAATAAAGGAAAATTGACAATGAGACCATGAAAGCAATATGTAGTGGATTGAAGGGGGAGTGATGCATTTAAAACAAAAAAATTAACAAGTAGTTACAACAAACATTTTTAAAAATACGGTTTTAAGTATAGCTAAATGAAAAAAAAATCAGAGTACTTGGTAAGTAATGGAAAAGAAAGAAAGAAGTTCCAAAGTTGAATGCAAGGCAGTGTTCATCCAAGATAAGTCTTATGGTCCCATTGACAAGGTGATTCTCATTGTGGAGACAGATGAATCTGGCATTGATGTTAGCCCTGGTTGCACTTATCTACCATTCTCAGAATTAGCTCTCAGTGTTCTTTTCTGGTGGTAAGCTACCATGCTGGTAACTTGCATACAGAGAAAGAACGGACTAAGCAGAGGAAGTAAGTAGCTGCTCCCCACTAGCCTTTCTGATTCTTATTGAAAAGCAGGGCACTCTGCTTTGTAGTAGTATCTGTGAACCAATGTGTATCCACCCTGTGAATGGGGTCCAGCCTCTTCTTGCTTTAGCAAATGAACTTTGAGTTTGTGAAGTGAAGGAACAGAATATGGTCCTGGTGAAAACACCACAGCAATGCCACATAGTGAAGTCTATAGGAAACCAGTTGTTTTCCCTAGGGAAGGCTCTGAATCTCTACACATTTAATCCAAACTCCTCCAGTGACCCAATCAGACAGACTTCAAAGAAGCAGAGGTCATCCTGAGAGGGGTAATAAGACTTCATTGTGTCAACTGAAAGTGGTCCTGCTGAGCTGAGGGGCACAGTATGAGGTAACAGACTGAGGGCAAAATATCAGCCAGGCTTGTAGACAAGAAAACAACATATGGGAATAGAGCAGTTAAGGGAGAGAGGAGAGGAATGCTGGCAAACCAGCGAC